TGGATTAAAATGTCCAATTTTGCTTTGAGGGGGAGGGATTATTACCCCCAGAAAGCAATACACCAATGGACTAACAGCTGATTCTTTCTTACTGCTAGGAAACAGAGGCACGTGGAGTAAGGAAACTTGCCTAAAGTTTCAACCGGCCCAGGAATTGAATCCGGGTCCACTTGCTTGTGGAACAAGAGCGTTAGCCACTAGGCTGTGGGACTTATTATAATAATCTTTGCATTTGATGTAGTGTTCTATCATGTCTCAACATTACCGAGCAGTTTAGATTTTTTTCTGTGTTGTTGCCATGTATTTGTTGTCAAATGTGGCAGCCAATTTGCGCACAGCAATAACCTACAAACAGCAATGGCCCACAAACAACCATCAAGTGAATGACAATTATTTAGCTGAGGGATTATTGATTAGGTCATTGGAAAGAAATCCCTTCTCATTTTGTCAGCCTGGCTCAGTTGGTAGCGTGCTCATCCACTGAGTGAGAAGGCTGTAGGCTGACACTTAGATACGGTGCTGGGGGTTTGCTGAATTCCTGGAGCTGCTGTCCTTCTGGTAAGACAATGAACAACAGTAACAACTTGGATTTACATAGTGCCCTTCACGGGTGGAAGAGTCGCGGAGCGTTTCAACCAAAGTCTGATGGCTTGCCTCAGTTGAAAGTCTCACTTGAAAGTTGGCACCTCTTCAGTACAGTGCTCCCCTTCACTGTATTGGAGTATTAGGCTAGAGTCTGTGAATTCTAAGTCCCGACATGGAGCACAACCTTTTGACTTGAGACCCAAAAGTGCAAGCAACTGAACCAGCCTGAGACACTTTTTCTCCATACCCCGTAATACCTTACTTCCCAAATATCTATCCATCTCTGTTTTAGACATCTCTGTTTTAGACATTGTGGAGTCCAAAAGCTCAGTGGTTGGAGCACTCGCCTTGCAAGCGAGAGACCTGGGTTCGATTCCCGGCAGGTGAAACCTTGGGCAAGTTTCCTTACTCCACACGCCTGATAATAATCCCTCAAGAAAAAAAATAATAAATTGGTCACTCAATCCACGACTGTTTGTGGGACACTGCTGTGTGCAATTAGCTGCTGCATTTGCTTACAAATACAAAGTCACTCCATTTCACAGTAAGTCCTATAAAGTGCTTTGAGGCGTCCTTCTGACATGATAAAGCGTTATATCAAATGAAATTGTTGGTGTTATTATTACAGCACGTTGGTTCCTGTACTGCACTCTGGGGGAACATTGCTGGTCACGGTTGAATGATGTGGGTTTCTGGTTGGAAGTGTTCCCACTGTAATTTGAGTCATCAAATCCATAGGTGTCAAGTATTTGGGGATGATAAAAAGGCTGTAATATTGAAGGCCACTTATGTTGTAAACATGAGGTTTCAAGTTCACTCTTGTGCATTTATTTTTGATGTTCAAATGAGTTGCTGTTGACGGTTTCACTTTATTCTATTTGATTTTTTCGCTTCAAAAACATAAACATCCACCAAATTTTTCTGCTCAACTTTATTTTTTTCACTCCTTTCCTGACTAGCCTCCTTGTGGAGAGGAGATGTCTTTGGGACAGGGATTCTTCCTACTCAGTCCTGTTAACTCGGCAGCTAAAACCCTAATGGGTAAGGTGGTCCAAGCTGTATGAGCAGCGGGAAAGCTTGCCACACAGCGATATCAATCGCAAGCTCTGTGGTTTTAACTGGTTAAACTCCAGCAGTAGCCCAACCCACACACTGGGGTCCCCAAGAATTGTCTCTTGCCATCCTGCGTCTAATACTTTCCAGAAATAGGTAACTCAAGTATAGGAGAGAGAATGCACATTCTGTACCAAGTAAATGTGGATTTCCATGGGTATGTGACATCCAAACCAAACTCAATCACGGTGATGGTTTTCCTGTATATCTGACACGTGATTGACCAAAAATGCTCCCCTGATTGGTGTTTGCTTCCTTTTTCTTTCTGTTGGTTCCAATACTTTTCCCAAATGGCCATTCTTTAGGTGAGTCTTGTCATTGAGCATTGGTTGGTAATTTTCAGAACGTGCAATTATATAGCATCTTCACGTGGAGAAGCATCTTAATATCTACACACAAGCCTTTTGCTAATTGTGGGTTACTGAGGTCAGTTGTAGCAAATGCTTTCCCTGGCTAAGGCCGGCTAACTCAGCACAGACCTGTACTCCACTGTACTTCTCAACCTGGGTTGGATGGGTAAACATGAGTGAATGAGATGTGGGATCAAACCAGTACAGTGGAAAGAACAACTTACATTGATATAGCGGCCTTCACACAGAGAAACACCTCGGAGGCTTTTACAGAGCCATTGCTGGACAACAAAGGAGGGAAGGTATGGTCAAAGAAGTTCTCAGGGGGCTTTTGAAGATAGACTAAGAAGGTGTGATGGAGGAATCGCAAGAGTATTAGAGAGTGAGATGGGGCATATGGGCAGAAGGCTGGTGCACTGATGGTAGAGTTAGCTATTTAAGGGCAGTCAGCACACTGGCCTAGTTTGTCCCGATCAGCGAGTTTGGGATTTTAGTCACCGTCCTCTCCAATTTGGGCAAAAAAAAAGAGATCGTGGAAAAATGGTGCGCTGTCCTCATTACAGAAATAATAACAATAATCCTTTCATTCGGTATAGTGCCTCTCAACAACAACAACAAGATTGCATTTATAGAGCGCCTTTCACGTCGGGAGGACGTCGCAAGGCGCTGGACAGTTGGGTCGGGACCCGAGCAGGGGGGAAATGGTCAAGGTGAGGGGAGGGAAGGGAGGGAGCGAGGAGGGGGTAGAGAGTTGAGAGGGGAGGTGAAGGCATGGTTGAAGAGAAAGGTCTTGAGACCGGCTTTGAGGGAGAAAAGGGAGGAAGCAAGGCGAAGGCACTGGGGGATGGAGTTCCAGAGCCGAGGGGCTGAGAGGCTGAAAGCCCGGCCACCGATGTTAGGGCGGGGGATGTGGAGCAGACCGGAGCCAGAGGAACGGAGGGTACGGGCAGGTAAGTAGGGGGATAGTAGGTCGGAGAGGTAGGAGGGAGCAAGGCCGTGAATGGCCTTGTAGGTGAGGATGAGGATCTTGAATTCGATCCTCTGGGGGATGGGGAGCCAGTGGAGGCGAGCGAGGGTGGGAGTGATGTGGTCGCGAAGCCTGGTGCGGGACAGTACACGAGCTGCAGAGTTCTGAATGACCTGCAGCTTGTGGAGGGAGGTGCCGGGAAGGCCGACGAGGAGAAAGTTCCCATAGTCCAGCCTTGAGGTGATAAAGGCGTGGACCAGAGTTTCAGCAGCGTGAGGGGTGAGGTAGTGCCGTAGTCTGGCGATGTTTCGGAGGTGATGGAAGGCGGTGCCAGTTGTGGCGCGGATATGAGGAAGAAAGGACAGCTCAGGGTCGAACAGAACACCGAGGTTCCTGACTGGCTTTGAGAGGTGGAGAGTGCAGCCTTGGATGCTGATGCTGTCAGCGCCTGAGGTGCGGAGGCGCTGACGTGAGCCAATCAGGAGGGCCTCAGTTTTGCGCACTTTGAGCTGAAGAAAGTTGTCTTTCGTCCAGGACTCGATGTCAGACAGGCAGCTGTCAGGACACCGGGGGTCGTGGAGTTGAGGGTAGAGGAGGAAAGGTAGAGTTGGGTGTCATCCGCATACATGTGGAAGTTAACCCCATGTCTGCGGATGATGTCACCGAGGGGGAGCATATAGAGGGTGAAGAGGAGGGGACCGAGGACAGAGCCCTGAGGGACATCGCACGAGACAGTGCAGGGACTGGAGGAAAAGCCGTTAGCGGTGACAAAACGAAGATGGTGGGAGAGGTAGACCTGAACCACTCAAGGACAGCGCCTTGAAGGTTGAGGTGGGAGGACAAGCGGTGGAGGAGGATAAAGTGGTTGACCGTATCGAATGCGGCCGATAGGTCGAGGAGGACGAGGAGGCAGAGAGAGCCCTGGTCGCAGATGGTCAAGATGTCTTTAGTGACCCTGACCAGGGCGGTTTCCGTGCTATGGGCAGCACGGAAACCCGATTGAAGGGGTTCGAATAATGAATGGGTGGAGGGGAAGGAGCGCAGCTGGGAGGCGATGACTCTTTTGAGAACCTTGGGCAGGAAGGGGAGGTTGGAGATGGGCCGGTAGCTTGATAGGTGCGACACATCAAGGGAAGGTTTTTTCAGTGTTGGAGTGATGGTGGCAGTCTTGAGGGGAATGGGAACAGAGCCAGAGGAGAGGGACAGGTTGATGATTACTGTGAGAAGTGGGGCAAGGAGGTGGAGCTGAGAGATAAGAAGTGGGGATGGGGTCCGGGGAGCAGGTAGTGGGTTTCAAGGACAGGATGAGTTTGGTGACAGAGGGTGGGGAAACGGGTTCGAAAGTGTGTAGGGGAGGATGGGTAGGAGTCGGAGTGTGGGAGGGAAGGGGTTGGGGGGCGGGTGGAAGTTGGAGGGGCAGTGACCACGGAGTGGATTCCCTTGATTTTGGATTCAAGGAAATCCAGCATCTCCTCACAGTGTGTGTCCCAAAGTGCTTCGCAGGATATATTGTAAAGTGCAGTGACTGTATTTTGTGGCAGTGTCCACAATGTGGGCAGGGAATCATCCTATTCTGCTGCAAGCCAAAGCCCTTACAGGTAGAGTGGTCCTAGCTGGACAAGCAGCGGGAAAACTTACCAGACAGCAATATCATTGGCAAGCTACGTAGGCTTAGCTGGTTTGACTACAGCGGTAGCCCAACGCACGGTCTGCGGTCCCCAAGCCTTGGCTCTTGCCAACCTGAGCCAAATACTTTTCCGGAATTAGGTCAGCAGGATGTGTCCCTCCAGAGAGAGAGTGCCCATTCCATCCCAACAATGTCTCTGGAACTTCTATGTGGAGGTGGGATGTATGGAAATCTCAGTTTGGTTTGTATACTCTTAAGCATGGTGATGGATTTCTGGATGTGTCAGACACGTGGCTGACCCCTCCAAAAAAATAAATTGACTGCAGCTCACCCTCACTCCCTCAATTTGTCCTTTCAGATCTCCGACATCCATGTTACCGGCGAGTCCGAGGATATGTCGGCAAAGGAGAGACTGTTACTGTGGTCACAGCAGATGACTGAGGGCTATACTGGAATAAGATGTGAAAACTTCACTTCATGCTGGAGAGACGGCAGATTGTTCAACGCGATCATTCATAAATACAGGTCAGGCTTTCAGTTACACTCTTGTTCGATATTTCATATTTTGTGTGTCAGTCTACAGAATATTCTGTGCTTTGCCCTTCGGAATCTTATTTGTTGCAAACATAACAATCCTTTGATTTGATATAGCAATTTTCACCATGGAAGGATGTCTCAAAGCTCTTCACAGGGTTTATTGTAAAGTGCAGTGACTGTATTTTGTCAGGTGAATGCCACATCTAATTTGCACACAGAAATGTCCCAGAAACAGCCATGAAGTGAGTGATGAATTTTATCTGGGGATGGTTGGCCAGGACACCAGGCAAAATTTCTTTCTCTTCTTAGATAGTGCCATGAGATCTTTTAACATCCACCTGAACAGGCAGATAGGACCTCAGGTTTATTGTCTCATGGGAAGGAAGGCACCTCTGATAATACATTGCTCCCCCAGTTCTACATTGAAGAGACTGTAAACTGAAAGTCCTGAGGTGGAATTAGACCCCACAACCTTCAGACACTGAGGTTCAGACACTGGGCTGAGCCAGGCTGACATCCTAGCAGGTCAGGTTAATCCGATAATGGAGCAGTAAGAGGGAATACTTGGCCTTAGATTTACATGATAATTTAGAATAAATCAATCAGTGCAATACTGCTTAATAGAAGCAGTCTCGCCAGTTAATCGTCTGCTCTGGCTTGCCTTTGCAACTTTTCAGGGTGTTCTCGCTTATAAGTGATTCAGGCTAGAAAGTTGCGTATTAGGAGCCTGCAATGGGTGACTGCCCCACCTGGTGTGTCCCTGAGCCATACAGACCAGACTGGGACGGTTTTCAGGTTCAATTTGCAGTCTGTGCCTCGTTATTTGATCTCAACCAGGGTGTGGTGACGGTATTGCCCAGGATCTCGTTGACCTTGGGCTAGGGTGTGTGGGTGGAGGAAGAGAGGAGAAATCCAGTCAGGGTGTGCCATAGCCTTGTTTCGTTTCCAATGGCTCCTTTTGGGAGTATGGAGGGATGTGTATATATGTATGTTTTTATGCATGTGCTTGGGTTTTTGGAAGCATAGAGGCCAAGCAGCCTGCCAGCACTCTGTGTAAATGCAGGTATGGAGAATGGTTTCCTGGCAAAGTACCAAATGTTGCAGTGACCTGCACAGCTGTATACAGTTGTAAGTTATTGCCTTCGGTGGAATGACAGGCAGTGGACTATTTGATGTCTTCCTAAAAATACTTGTGAAAGGGCCCACTGGTTAACTGTAGCTGATCGATCATAGAAGGGGGTGATTTGGTCCATTGAGCCTATGCTGGTGTTTGCTCCTCCACAGGTACTGAAAAAAACTGCAATTCCCCCAAATTTCCTGCTTTTTTCTTATATTTTAGTTTGATCCTATTGAAATGCCGATTTGATTCTGTTTCAGGTGTTGCAGTCTTAGGTGCTGTGGCTATTTGTGTCAAAGATGTTGCACCTTTTAATCACCCTCTGCACGAAACATCAGGGGTGAGATTTCATACCACGTTCCCTGTGATAGTTACCACAAAAATATGGTGTTAGGAAACAGTACAAATTTCACCTTGTGTTAATCTCCACGTCCTCCAACTTGCTGACAAAGGAATTCTTTTCACATTTTAAAATGAGATCTGACCAAAAGACTTCATCATAATAATCCTTACATTTGATATGGTGCCTTATCATGTCATTGAGACATCTGAGAGTGCTTCACAGATTATACTGTAAATGGACAGTCCACAGTCTGTCTGAAATAACAACTGGTACAAAGGTTACTTATTTTCAATGGTAAAGAGGAAACAATACAACTAAAGGTTTTTCACAGAAAAACTTTGCGGTTCTTTTGTGAAAGAATTCTGCAACAGGGTCTGAGGGTATTCTTTCATTAAACAAACAAAAATATTTTTTAATTAAGAAGCTTTCTTCAGAAGAGTTAGACAGAGAGACGAGCTTGTTCTGAACTCCATGCCCAAGCATGTAAAAATATGCTTGAGAGTTCTGTAGCTCAGTGGTTAGAGCACTTGCCTCGCAAGTGACTGGGTTTGATTCCTGTCGCGTTTCGCCCACAAAATATACAATTAATTCAGTTTACAGTATATTCTGTGAAGTGCTTTGAGACGTCTAGAATACGTGAAAAGCGCTATATCAAATGCAAGGATTGTTATCATTTTTTTATTCTAAAGTATAGCCTGTGGCTAATTGTTCCACTGAGAAATCTGGGATTAGGGCCAAGGAGTACAGAGTACCACCAAGCCTGAAAAGACAGGTTGGATCAAAGCAATGGTTAAGGTTTTGGTTTCTCTGATTGTATGGGGGAGGTATTGCTGAGGGAGGGATCCAGTTCCAACATCTTAAAGTTCTGAAAAATAATGAGATTGAACAGGAGATAATGATAAGCCTTGAATTCAGTGGGGATTGTGGGAAGAAGGAACATCACAGGAGAAGTGTGGACAAGTGAAACCTTAGGCAAGTTTCCTTGCTCCACACCCCTCCGTTTACTTAGCAGTAAGTAGGAAGGAACCCGCTTGTTAAGTTAATTGGCGGATCTCTTTCCAGGCATCATAATCCTTTAAAAAAAAACAATAATTTGATCACTCAATCCATGACTGTTTGTGGCAATCAGCTTTGCTCAATTGGCTGCTGGGTTTCGGCCACAAAATATACATTAATTCAAATATACAGTATATTCTGTGAAGCGCTTTGAGATGTCTCAAAAACGTGATAAGGCGCTATATTAAATGCAAGGATTAGTAAACAGAAACATTTAGAGTAAGGAAAGTTGTCTGAAGTTTCGCCCACCCCAGGAATGAAACATGGCGAGCACACTAACCAATATGCTACAGGACTCCCAAATAGGAGATTTGGAGGATTAAGCACAAGGTTTCTTTTAGGGGATTCAGTAAGAAAAGCATTCAACTGTTAGAATTATGCATCAGATGGTCACCATTGCACAAGTCTGTTTTGCCTCTGCAAGTCGGCCATTTTTATTGTTGCAAAGCTTGCCTAAAAATAGAAAAATTCTCATATAATAATGATCCTTTGATATAGTGCTTTTCACATCTTCTAGATGTCTCAAAGCACTTCACAGAATATACTGTAAAGTGAATTGACTGTATATTTGTGGACGAAACGCAGCAGCCAATTGTGCACAGCAGTGTCCCACAAACAGTCGTGGATTGAGTGACCAAATTATTATTGTATTTTTCTTGAGGGATTATTATCAGGCGTGTGGAGTAAGGAAACTTGCCCAAGGTAATATCTAATAATGAACAATGACAAGGAATGTGCAAAATAGCTACGGTGGAGGATCTCTGGATAACAAAACATGTAAACGTATAAACTTGCCACAGCGAAATAAATAGACAGACAAGGATTTACACAGACTGTGGAGCATGGAAACAGGCCACTTGTCCTGTCCAGTCCATGCCGGTGTTTATGCTCCACACGAATCTTCACCTATTCCATGACAAGTATAGAATATCAAAGCAAATGTTAGTAGAACTGTACAGAGCGCTGGTCATTTACTTTTCAGGACACTCCATCTTACAAAGGGCATTCATACAATTCAAAGCAAAACAGACGTTACTTGTGAGATGGCTAGATCCACATTAGACGTCTACATTTTGAACAAATGTGAAAAAAATCTAAATCGGGCAAGTCCCAATTTGAGTTAAGAGAAAGTCCTGCATTGTGTTTTCATTGAGGAGAAGCGTCTATTTTATATTTCCTTCTGTTAAAATGTAGGCATTTTGCATAACCTAAATCCTGTAGAATTTCATGACAAAACGAGTCCAGCTGGGTGGAGGCCGGGGTTATTAAAGTGGTTTTCTGTGGCAGATGTTTAGTTTTAATGTGCTCTGACCTGCCTTGTCCTTACCCAGCAGAAACTTAAATATTTACATACACTGTAACCATGGGATCCACTGCCTGTTGAGGCAGCTTCAGATTTAAAGCTGGGAGGCAAATCCCTCTGGAGCCAAATATCCACTCAGTCCACAACTGTTTGTGGGACGCTGCTGTGTGCAATTGGCTGGCGCGTTTCACTCGCAAAACACGCAGTGAATTCGCTTCATAGTATATTCTGTGAAAACTTTGAGACGTCTCGAAGACGTGATAAGGCGCAATAAGGCGTTAGGTGTGTGTAGCTCAGTGTGAGACCGGGTTCAATTCCTGGCAGGGCGAAATGTTGGGCAAGTTTCCTTACTCCAAACGCCTCTGTTTCTCTGGCAGTAAGTAAGAACCCGGTTGTTAGTTGATTGGCAGATCGCTTTTCCAGGGCTAATAATTTCTAAAAAAAATTGGTCACTTCAATCCACAACTGTTTGTGGAACACTGCTGTTCGCAATTGGCTGCCGTCTTTCGCCCACAAATATACAGTCAATTCACTTTACAATATATTCTGTGAGGCGCTTTGAGACATCTCGATTATTAGAATTATTATTATTATTGTATCAAATGCAAGGATTATTATCCCTTAAGATGACCAATGATGCTGGGACGTCCTCCTGACACGAGCGTGCTATACAAATGTAATTTGTTGTTGTCATTTAGCCCGAGTACAGTGAACAAGTGTCAAGCCTTTTCGGACTTCATTTGGATAATAGCATGCAAGTTGCTCTCATCTATGCTCCTGGCTGTGACGTAGCAGAGCTTGCTCAAAGTCGAATTTGGCTTTGAACTGTCCAATTGACGCTTCAAAGTCAAAACCCAAGGTTTATTTTCTTGTTTAATGCTCATCTCTAGTCCAGGTTTCTTAATCAATGGCAAGAAGGTTTCTGCACAGAGGGAGTGCCAGTGTGGATCATTGTGTCTGGGATGAGCTGTCTGCTCTTGTCTTGTCTCCCTGTCCCCTTTTATCTCTTCTTTTGATGGGTTGATCTAATTCTGAATTGTGGTAATTAAAAGTCGGCTTTGAAGTTGCATGTGGTGACGTGTTCCACATCCTAAAATATCTTTATGTACATCTATATGTTAAAACAAATTGTAAGAAGGAATATTCTTTTTCTGCCTCTGGGTGTTTCC